TGTTATGAATTGTAATGTAAATATCTGATATGCAGGATGTATTTTCATTGTTACAAATTGAACATAATTAAAGCATAGTGATTAGTCACAAAAACAATATGTAATTGTATATGTGTTTTCCGATGGTCTTAGGCGACCCCTGTGAAAGGGTCATTCGACCCCCAAAGGGGTCGCGACCCACAGGTTGAGAACCACTGCAAAGACATCACTCAAATAAAGCTTTGGGCTACTGCCACTCATAATCATATATTTTTTTCTCGATCAGCCTTGAAATCTCTATAATGTCACATACTATGAGATTTATATTTGTTGCCATTTGCTTATTAAAGTGTTCTAATCTGAAAGGATAAGGGAAACTTTCTATTATCATCTCAAGTTTTAAAATGTTATAACCAAGGAAAATGTTATAACCAATAATAAATCCCTATGTAAGTCCCCAACGTGCCAAGAAGACTAGAGCTGCAAAAATTTCCTGTGTTTACATTTCAAAGAAGAAAGAAGGTCTTAGAAGATGGAGATTTCTGTGGAACTTAAATAACTTCAGGAAACTCTGGCTATATGGCTCCTGGAAAGACTGTATTTACATACCAAAGAGCTGGAGTAAGAAGGTTCTACTTACCCTAGACCAGTGGTCGGCAAACTGCTGCTCATGAGCCACATGTGGCTCTTTGGCCCCTTGAGTGTGGTCAAGAAGTTTCAATCGCACTGTACGTGCACGCCCGCATGTGGTATTTTGTGGAAGAGCCACACTCAAGGAGCCACAGTTTGCCAACCACTGCCCTAGACTAAATACTAAGGTAAAGCAGGGAGGGAGAGGATTGATCCATGGATTATTTCCTGTGAGGTTATCTCGTATATGTCTCCGTGTCAGAGCACACAGATGTATATTCAGAGTAAAATTGATAAAGATGATTATATTTAACAGGGCAGTATTATAAGAAAGAAAAAAGAGTTTAGGACACATGTAAGTCTGACCTTGGAGATATCACCAGGTAAATCAGGAAGTGATGATCTTAGGATGAGCAATAACAATGGATTGTTGAAGTATTGGACAGAATAAACTGGAAAGTTATGAGGCAGTAGGTGAAAAATGCATTACTTAATTTGTGCTTATGGGGGGGGGTTCTGGTTTATTATTAATAAACTATAGGGTGTGGAATGGGAGATACTACCTGCAGTAGGAAAGAAAATAAGATCTTTGAGAAGAGGAGAATAAGGAATTAAAAAACTGTATTATTGACATCATGAAGAACTGGGATAAAAACAACCTCAGGATAAAATGAACCAGCAACTAAAATTCACAACGGAGATGCAATGTTTAATCAGATTTGAAGACAGATTATCAGCTATAAAACAGTGGAAACAATGGCAATTTTTTAATAAGATTGTGTGTGTGTGTGTGTGCCTCTGTGAATATAAAGAGAGTAATATTTATGAATAAGTAAGCAAAATCCCTGGTGTCAGTGTGTGTGTGTGTGTGTGTGTGTGTGTGTGTGTGTGTGTGTGAGAGAGAGAGAGAGAGAGAGAGAGAGAGAGAGAGAGAGAGAGAGAGAGAGAGAGAGAGAGAGAGAGAGAGAATGTAAAGTGAGATATAAAGGGAATATATATCCCTTTATATATAAACGTAGATAACACTTATGAAGATTTTAGCAAAATTTCTGATATATCATAAGCACTTGATGAATGTTTGTCGTTATGATGTTTATTACAATTACAGTGCTAATGTTGCAACTGTTTTCCTGAAAGAATGTTATCCTAGAATTCTCCTAAGGTATTTTGAATGATCCTTTCCTTTTCTTTCCTCGTTCAAATTTTTGAAAAGTGGCTACTTAGTGTGAAGCATGGTATTAGACATCACAAAGGTGCATGACAGAGATTATTTCTATTCCATAAATCCAGAGGACACCATTTATGTCATAGTCTATGAATTTTATATCCCCAGGTTTATAAACATTGCAACCTGTGTGACTGCATACTACACACTAGATTGTCATCATAGTCATTTACTAAATATTTACCAATATGAGAGAATGGAGAAATACAAAGTGTAGTAGAAATGTAACACATAAGCGTAATTTAAAGTAAGAGCAAAGTTATCCTTGACGCAGTGACATTCCATCTGTAACCTTAAAATGACTAGGAAGTGAGAAGTCTTGCATGAGAGAAATGTGAAGAGCATTAAAAGCTGAAGCAAGAACATGACACAGAATCTGAAAGGTAGTAAAAAAAAAAAAAGTATAGACTGGTTGAGACTCAAGGGAACTAAAAAAAAATGAGCTGTGTAGCAGAAAGTGATGCCAAAAGAGTTGCAGGGACCAGGTTATAAAGATACTTACTGGTCATTTTGGATATTGCAATTATAATCTATGAAGGTTACCATTATGTATAAGAAAGAATAGAGACTTTAATTCGGACATATCTTATTTTTTAATCTTGGTGATGTAGTGGTTAAGTATATGAAATGTGGAACCAAGGATATCCAGATTCAGACCCTGTTATTAGCTGTAAAATTGTATATGAATTATTTAATCTATTAGTATCTTTATTTTCTCATCTGTTCAGTGGTATTTATTTTTCCAAAGTCAGCTATGCAGATTAGTGAGAAATGGATGTTAAGCTTTAAGCCTAGGGCATAGAACATGATGACCTCACCGTACATAAACATAATCCTTTCCCTTTATTCTATGGTTTTATAATATTTTGCTGATATATTAAGCAAATACATTTCATATCAAAGCACTCAGCAGACCTTTGGGAAATAATAATGTCCTTATTTATTATCTTAAGGGATAGCTAATAACAATTACTCTACCTGAATGTAATTTATGTCTTGTAGTTTGGGAAAAGACCCCATATCCCAGAGGACCACTGAGTCCCCTGCCACCTACCTCCTTTAATGCAGTGTGATTGGGAGCAGAGCAAAACCTAGCTCTTGTTCACTGTGCATACTTCCTAGCAGCTACTCCTTATAGAAACTGGCTCTCTGGATGAATCTCAGCTTTTAATTTGGGTGAGTTGGTACATATGCAAGACAGGAAAAGAGAGGAAAGGGCTACATTCAAACATCTACATTTATAGAATGAAAAGGTTCTCAAAAAAGTAAATAATGTGTACCTCTCTGTAAACCCTTAGTAAAGTTAAAAATAAGTACTGTAGCCTGGCAAGTGTGGCTCAGTGGTCGATCAACAATCTATGAACAAGGAGGTTATGGTTCAATTCCTGGTCAGAACACATGCCAGGCTTGATCCTCAGTGTGGGGTGTGCAGGAGGCAGCCAATTAGTGATTCTCTCTTATCATTAATGTTTCTATCTCTCTCTCCCTCTCCCTTCCTCTCTGAAATCAATAAAAATATATTTTTCTGGAAGTGGAGATCTAGGTAATCAAGATCTTTAAGCCCACAGATAAAGCAGTATTGACTTGAAACCTACCTCAGTCTCAATGCCGCACTCCTATCTTACAATCATAGCAGAGCAAAGCAGAAACAAAGTTCTACCAAGGAGAAGAAACTCTTACTTCACTACTAGAGGCCCGATCACGAAATTAGTGCAAAGGGCTTGGCCCTTGCAGCTGTGATGGCTGCCCTCGACCCTTGCACCCCTGGCTTCATCTGGAAGGTAGTCCAGAAGGTCGTTCAGCTGTCCTGTCTAATTAGCATATTACACTTTTATTATTATAGATAGACAGAAGTGGATGATTGTGAAACATCATCCAATGCCAGTCTTTGGGCTAGGTTATGCTAATACCTACCTATGCTACAGTTTCTAGACTGAGGAGAATTTAATCATTAAAAAAGACAGGAGTCATAATAATATATAATGACTCCTAAATAATTTAAATAATTATTAAATAATTATTAAGCATTAAATAATTTACTATTTGATAAGGTCTATCACAATCAAATGTAAGAAAACATATAAAGATGCACAGAAAATTATCCTGCATATTTTTGTCTAAGTTAATTCAGCAGAGTCATAGAGGAGATTCTTTTGACCGAGATACTACAAGAAAGCTGTGGTTTGCAAAGGGAAGAGATTATAAGGGAGGGAGAGGAAAGTTGCAATCATAAAATTATGTGAAAAAGGGCACAATTTCACAAAGAGCATATTGTTTCTAGAGAATAATTAAAAGTTTGGCATTATCTTATGGAGGGTATAGAAGAAGTACCTGGTGAAAAAGATGGTTTATTTTTTATTCTAAATGCTAATTTGATCACATCATGCTTAAATGTTTTATTGGAGTCACATTATGTATGGAATAATGACCAGATCCCAATACTTAATTTCTTAAATTACTCTGTGAAAGATAGTGTACTAACTTGTTAACATGTATTAATTAACTTAATCTTCCCAACAACTTTTTGTTTTCTCCACTTCACAGTTGAGAAAACTTGGGGGGAAATATAATAAGTATGAATAAGACAAATTAAACCTTATTATGGAACTAAATGCATTTATTTATTTATTTATTAATAAATTCCTCTAATAGAAGAACATAAAAAGAGCCTCTGATGGAAATCAATATGATCACATGCAAGGGGGGAGGGGGGGACAGAAGTGATAGCATTACTTATGATAGCTGATAATTTTCAAGAATTATTGAACTTTATTTACTCTCAATCAAATATCATAGTAACTCAAAGTAAATGATTATAAAATGGTCATTTAGTTGCATTATTTTTTCACCTAAAAATTAACATCTACAAAGATTCCAGATGATGCCTTTTTCATATTAGGATCACTAAGTATTACTTTCCTTCTTTAGTTAGTAAAAGAAAGTATGAACTGAAATCACACTAATTATGTATAAATCAAAAGAGATACCAAGTACATGCATCTCATTAATGTTTAGGATCTTCAGACAAAATAAAAGTTAAGAACTAGGTACATTGGGAAATATACAGAAGAGGTAGTAAATTAACATTTTTAAAAAACTGAGCTTAAAATAAGTAGATATATAAGTTGGAAATGTTTCATAGAAAAGGAGGAAACTTAGTAGAGGCATGAGGCAAACCTCAGGTTTTGAAGACTTTTATGCAGAAGACAGGTGTGTCTATAAAAAGGATCACAGTAGGAAAGGGTTCATGGCTCCTCAGGTTTGGTTCTGTGACAGTATTAGGACATGTAATGGACTAAGAAATGAGTATCCATGCTTAAGAGTACTCATAAATCAGCTAGAAAATTATGTTTAAAAATGACTCTCAGATTCGTTTCATTGATAATATCAGACATCTCTATCAAAAGCTAATTTGGTCTTGTTAAATCAAAGTGTGAATTCAAAAAGTGATATTGAATTTTATTGTACACAGATAGTAACCATGTTGGGTTTTGTTTGTTTGTTTTAATATATTTTTATTGATTTCAGAGAGGAAGGAAAAGAGAGAGAGAGATAGAAACATCAATGATGAGAAAGAATCATTGATCGTCTGCCTCCTGCATGCCCCCTACTGAGGATCGAGTCCACAACCAGGGCATGTGCTCTTGACTGAAATCAAACCCAGGACCCTTGAGTCTGCAGGCCGATGCTCTATCCACTGAGCCAAATCAGCTAGGGACATGTTGGGTTTTTGGTTTTGTTTTGTTTCTAATAAATTGTGAGATTCATGACTTGGTTTATAGTAAGCACTTTGTGTCTGGTTGCATAGTTTTTGCCTGGCTTTCCTAAGTTCCCTCCCCCCCCCCCCCCCCCTCTTCCTATGCATGCTGTCGGTCACTGACCTGGTCCTCTCCACGTCCACGCTGCCCCGCATGCTCTGTCTCTTCTGGCTTGGAGCCCATGACATTGCCTTTGATGCCTGCTTGGCCCAAATGTTCTTCATCCACAGCTTTACTGCCATGGAATCAGGCTTCTTTTTGGCCATGGCCATTGACCGTTATGTGGCCATTTGTCATCCACTGCGCCACAGCACCATTCTCACCCATGCTCACATTGCCAAAATGGGAGCTTCTGTTGTGCTCCGAGGAGTGGTCTTCTTTTCTCCACACCCCATCCTGCTCAAACAGCTGCCCTACTGCAGGACTCGAAGAATTGCCCACACCTACTGTGAGTTCATGGCTGTGGTGAAGCTGGCGTGTGTGGACACAGGAGCCACCAAACGTTACAGCCTCAGTGTGGCCTCTGTCATTGGGTCTTGCGATGGCTTTTTTATTGTCATCTCTTATGTTCTAATCCTCCGTGCAGTCTTTCGTCTTCCATCACGGGAAGCAAGTCTTAAAGCTCTAGGTACATGTGGCTCTCATGTCTGTGTCATCCTTGTTTTCTACTCCACAGCTGTCTTCACCTTCCTCACTCACCGCTTTGGCCACAGTGTGGCCCCCCGGATTCACATCTTTATTGCCAATATGTACCCTCTGGTCCCACCTTTTCTTAATCCCATTGTGTATGGTGTTAGGACCAAGAAAATTCGAGACTATGTCCTTAGTTTTCTAAGGATAAAGTTTGCCTGATTATGCTGAAATTATTTGCAGAGACAGTATTAGAACTTGAAGGGAAGAGTACAAATAACTTATTTCGTCTCATAATAGACATGACATTTTCTTCTGCTGAAATAAGACTTTTTATCAGATTTCAATGGGGAAGGGTCTTCCAGGTGTATTTTTCATTTGTTGCCAGACTTGGTGTGATGATCTTGGAAGATAACTTTTGTCCTAAAAGGGTTTCCATCTACAAAAGATAGAGATCAGCAGCACAATGGTACCAGCCAATAAATCTCAAACAGCTCCAAATACCTTCTTGCTGATGGGCAAGAAGTTTCCCAATTCTAATGGAACTAGTAGGCACATGTTCATTTTGTGTACATCTAATTTTAGGGAGCTTACTTAGAACTTGATAAACTGGAAAGGGATTCCCTTCTGCTCCCTGCTGCTACTGACCTTCTGTTATATGAGTGGAGGGTAATAGTGTATTGTCCAATAGGTAGTGATTTAAAAAGCAAAGAAACTCATAAGAACCTCAAAGGATTCCACAGGAACTGTTGCCAAATGAAAAATAATGATCACTCAATATTCTATAGAAGAATCAGTATAATAAGATTCATGTCTTCTGAGTACAAGAAATACTTGCCTATTATTTTCACAAGAATAGAAATGTAGAAAAGTACCACATTGCAATAATTGTGTTCACAGATTACTATAATAAAATAAAGCTTTATGAATTACCTTTCTGCTGTTTCTCCTGTCATATTTATGCATCCTTTGCACACTCTGTTTTGTTTGTAAAGACTCCCACCTTCATCCAAAAAATAAGTTTCTTTATATCTTCATGGTTTTACTTACAATGCTTCCCTTTGTCCAGGCACCTTCTTATCTACAAAAAACTTAGTTATACTTCAAGGTACATCACCTGTTTAAATTCCCCCATGTTAGTAGAAATTTTATTTCCTCAAGTAAAACTAACTAAAAACTGTCCCTACCGTTATTGTGAAAAATGTCACTATATATTGGAGTTAACCTGGTATGTCTTTTTACAATTAAATTCTTATAGTTAGAGGTTAAGTGCACTAATTCTAGAGTCAGAGTGCCTGGATTCATCCCTTATCTCTGCCACTTACTCTCTGTATATCCAGTCATTTTCTGGGCCTTGTTGTCATAATGAATAAAATGGGGATCATAAGATTTCCTTCCCTATAGGAATTTTAAGGATTAAATGAGTGAAAGCATATAGGAAAGGCACTTATACTAGTGCCATATAGTAGACCTTAATAAACACTACCTAACTGGATCACCATAACAAGTGTAATTTTGCATGTTTATTATATGCCACACTTTGTCAGACATGTATGTGCAATGTACATATACAAGCATATATTATCACCATAATCATCAGAGTTTTAGTTGGATTTCATAGATGAGAAATTTGGACTCAGGGAGTTTAAATAATTTGCTCAATGTCACATGTTGATTAAGTGGTGCTGCCTGAATTTAAATAAACACAAAAGTACTCAATCCCATACTTACGATAAAGACTATCCTCCATTTACTTTTTATCACTAATACCTCTCAGTACCTATGAACACATGAATGCAATGAATGCTTCTGAAGGAAGGAATGATTCTATAAGATGTTTGAATCTATGTGTCCTGTATGTTAGAACTCCTACCTATGTGATAGTTATAATTAAGCTACTAGCTGAATTAAAATCATAAAGACTAGACTAATGATGATCTTTTTGTAAGATGATGGAGAAAAATGGCAATGACAGGAGGTAGGGACAGATCTCTCTCAGGCTGAAGAGAAGAGAATCATTATGGAAATGCAAACTTTGGGAGTATTGCCATTACATTGGATATTTCCTGAAGATGAACTGCCAAGATAGATCTTTTCGCTGTATTTTCTTTTTATCTGGAGTGCCATGAATTATGGGATTGAATTATAATACACTAGGCGCCCAGTGCACAAAATTCATGCATGGGGCGGGGGGTGTCCCTCAGCCCGGCCTGCACCCTCTCTAATCTGGGACATCCTCTCACAATCTGGAACCACTGGCTCCTAACCACGCTCACCTTCAGCAGACCCCTTGCCTCCCACTGGCCTGCTCACCCCCAACTGTCCCCTCACCCCTTGCCTGCCTGCCTACCCTGCCAGGGCTCTGTGATCAATGCTGCGCAGAGGGAGGCCCTGCCCACCAGGCCTGGGCTCACCATTGATCCCCACTCACATGGAGGTCCTGCCCACCCTGCTGGGGCTCTGGGATCAATGGCAGAGCAGAGGCAGACGTTTCCCACCCGGCCTGCGTGCACTCCGCCATTAATCCCCAGAAGGTTGCCGGAATATCTCTTGGTCTAATTAGCATATTGCCCTTTTATTAGTATAGATTCCTTGACAATTATCAGAATTGTTTATATGTTACATTTGGAAAATAATATGAACTAAGGAGTTAATACTTATAAGCTATCTACCAATGGCTCTCAAATTTGAATGTTTAACAATAATAGTCACAAAACTAAATCTTCAAAAGCCCTGAATTAAATTCTAGTCAAATAAAAGAGATATGCAACTTATTCATATATTCATACAACAAAAATCAATTTATGGAGTGGCTAAAATGTGCCAGATTGTGCTAGGTTCTGAGGAGAAGTGGGCAAAAGAGAATTTCATGTCTCGGGGAGTTTATATCCTCATGGAAATGATATAATTGAGTGATATTCAAATGCATAAATGTACTGGATATTTACTGCTGTCACATAACATAGGGCTTTTATCTAGTCTAGGAGAATTAAGGAAAGCTCCCTCAAAAATGGCATTTACTTAAATGCTGATTGGGAGTTAACTAGCTAAAGAAAGCAAGAGAGGTCCTGAACGGGGTGGTAATGTTACAGGGAGAGAGAACAGGATGTGTGAACATGTGTGGAGCTTAGAATAGGAAGGGGTATCATGCTTTCAAAAGGCTGAAGGAAGTCCATTTCATGGGCTGGAATAGAGGGTGAAATGAAGAGTTGCTAAGTAAGGCTTGGATAGTAGTGATCAGGGGTGTGTAGGGTGTGCTAATGATTCTCAAATTTATACTGAAAACTAGACAATGTCAATGTAAGTTTTATGCACAGGAGTGACACAATCAGGTTTGCTTTTTAAAAAGATCCTTGTCGGCTTCTTGTCCAAGATGGAGGCATACGAAGACCCCGAATGCACCTTGTCCCAGGAACACAATGAATTTACACCTACAGACAGAGCAGCTCTGGCTGAAGAAGCCCTGAGATCTGAATGTACAGCTTCTGCAAAACAAATGAGAGAGAGAGAGAGAGAGAGAGAGAGAGAGAGAGGGAGATCTCCAGTCCCAGGGATTTACCTCTGGCAATTCCTACAGTTCCAACCCCCTCCAGCTTCAGCTCCAGATCTGTGTGACTTGCCCTGGTACAACCTGAAACTCATTCTCCCTTAAACTTGGTATTGTGCAATATTTTTTTCTAAATCTTCTCTATTGCTCCTACTTTCATCTCAGCTCTCTGTGTTTCTGTTATATAGTTAATTACCAAACAATGGCTTTAATTTAGTCTATTAAAATTTATTTAGTGCAGCCCTAACCAGTTTGGGACAGTGGATAGAGCATCTGCCTGTGGACTAAAGGGTCCCAGGTTCGAGTCCGGTCAAGAGCATGTACCTTGGTTGCGGGCACATCCCCAGTAGGGCGTGTGCAGGAAGCAGCTGATCTAGTTTCTCTCTCATCGATGTTTATAACTCTCTATGCCTCTCCCTTCCTTTCTGTAAAAAATCAATAAAATACATTTTTTTAAAAAATAAATAAAATTAGCTTAGTGCATACATTTTTCCCCAGCTTTTTTGGTTTATAATTGCATATAGGAAATTAAGACTTAATTTCACTTTAAGTTTTGCTTATGCAGCTGCCAAGGTCACAGGAAATTAAAACGTTTTAAACTATTGGTTGTGAAGCAAGCAATTTGTACGTAATTATAACTATAAACATTTCTGCCTTCTTTTATCCTAAGTTTCTTTAACTTCATATTAAATTATTCCTCTGCCCTTACTCTTCTCCTAGAGTACCTAAGCCATACGCGTCACCTCTCACAACACACACACACACACACACACACACACACACACACACACACACACAAATTAGTTCTACAATGCTCCCAAACACCTGCTTTCTTAAATTTTAAATTTATTGGGGTAACATTGGTTAATAACATTATATAAGTTTCAGATGTATAACTTCATAGTACAAACATCTGTATACTCCATTGTGTGCTCACAACCCAAAGTTTACTCTCCTTCTGTCCCTTTAACTACATGTGCTATCCTCAATTACTGGCTCTAGGCTTTGTTCCCCAGAATAGTCAAGCCAAGTAAAACAATTTGCTAACAGAGAGGCCCCTAGAGACCCTGGAGGGAGGAGAGGAGGCAGTGACAAACCAGTATAAATCTGCCTCCAGCTCAGACACTTCATCTTATTCTGGACATCCAACAGATCTTGTCTGAACTTCATGTGGACAGTTACTTTGCTGGTCCCAGTCCCACTGAGGTCAGACTCACAACCATCTACAGGTACTATTCTAGGAAAAGGGAGAAGAAGAGGGAGGGAAAAGAGTCAAAAATCCTGGGATGCAAATTCATGTAGGAAAAGGAGATTCCTAAATACCAAGCACCAACCCTTTCAAGTCCATGGTTGGGTTCTGAAATTTTTAGAATACCCAGTGGCATTCTTTAGGAAAGAATAAGTATATTTCCAGCTTTTACACCTAAATGGATGGTCTCTTTACTTTAAAATTAATGTTGATATTGTTGTTGCTGGCAATTATTTTTGATAGCTCAGGCAAAAATTTACCATGTTGCTTAAAGTGCGAATAATATCCTATTGCCACCACCATATGGGGAATTTTATCTACTGTATTCCTGGTTGATGATCATTTAATTTCTACCTGATAATGAGCTTCTGGTCCCACAGGGTATCTTTTCTGTTTGAGTTTTTGATAGGGCTATTTCCCTTATTG